TTGTCTCCTTTCATCCTCAGGCACCTAAAGCTAGAACAGTGCTTGCATAAAAATGTCTGTTAAAAAAAAAATTTACAAAAGCCAGGGAGATAGCTCAGTAGAATAAGTGCTGCTCTGGCAAGTGTAAGGGCCTGAGTTTAATCCCTGATTCCGCAAAAAAAAAAAAAAAAGAATGTCTGTTGCTTCCCAGCCAAGTGCAGGGTGATCTTGGGAGTTTATGTGGGGTCCTCAGAGGTCGCTTAGTAAAGTTTAAATGGAAGCTGCGTTTTTGTTTATTTATTATTTTTTTTTGAATGTGGGAGAGCATTGATGATACTGGGCACTAACGTTTTAGTGTTCACTAAAGATGGGTACTGCTTAAAGGCAGATGGTGGGGAATGAGGGACACTGTGATGAAGGGGGACAAGGGCCTGATGCCAGATGGTAAGGTTCAAAGCTTGGCTGTCTAGGTGTAGGTTCTTCAGCAAATCACTAAACCTCTCTGTGCCTGTCTTTTTTCTCTTTTATGAGGATGGATAATCCTGCCTGTCCCACAGGACTATTATGAGATTTTAATGAACTTACAAATTTCGAGTAGTTGGCTGTGCCTGGTGGCACACGCCTGTAATCCCCATGCTCAGGGGGCTGAGGCAGGAGGATCCTTGTGAGTTCGAGACTGGCCTGGGCTACGAAGTGAGCTCAAGGCCAGCCCGAGCTGCATAACAGGAGACCCTGTCTCAAAAAAAGACAAAATAAATAAATAATTAAAATAAATAAATCTCAAGTACGAAAAAAAAATCCAATCACTAGTAAACTCTCAGACACATAACAAGTAGGCATTAAGTATTAACTACTGTCATTTTGACCATCATATTTTTTTTTCTTTAATATTCTTGCAGAGCCAGCAGATAAATGTAAAAGAAGGGTGGAGATGGAACATATTAGCTCTAATCTCATTTGCCAGACACAGTTGTCATTCACTTTTCAGTATCTGTTCTTACAGTTGCCCTAATATTTTAACACAATTATACTGTTAGCACCTAAACAAACAAACAAACAAAAAACCTTTTTGTACTGAGGACTGAACCCAGACCCTTGATGTTAGCCAAGAGGCTGAGCAACAGTGGTGATTGAACCCAGAGCCTTTGCTCTGCGCTGCAGCCCCAGCACGTTTTTTATTTTTTACTTTGAGACGGGCCTCTCTAAGACACCAAGTTGGGCAGGCAGTTGCCTTCCTCCTGGCCCAGCCGCCAGAGTATTTCAGTGACCATTGTGTGTCCACACCCCGCTTGTTATCATTCTATTTATTTATTTTTGGTACGGGGAACCAAACTTAGGACCTTGTGCTTGCCAGGCAGGCGCTTGTGCCACTGAGCTATATTCCCAGTCCTCATTCTTTTTATTTATTTATTTTTTTTATTTTTTGCAGAACCGGGGATTGAACTCAGGTCCTTGCCCTTGCCAGGGAAGCGCTTATTCCACTGAGCCATCTCCCCAGCCCCTCATTCTTTTTAAAGAGAAAGAATATATTTATTCACATACCAGGAAATTTCACCATTTATTTTATTTATTTTTTTTTCAAAGTTTTATTGACAAACAGATAGCAATGAGACAGAATTTCACCATTTAAAAGAGTATATGTAACTCAGTGGTTTTTAGGACGTTTGTAGGACTGGGTAGCCATTAGCACCACCTCAGTCCAGAACCTATTCGTTAGCAATGGTTATCCTTTCATGATTGTCTTGCTTTTTTTTTATGCTCCAAACCCTAGAAGATGCCTCTCATGGAGGAATTTCTGAGAAGCACCAAGGGGCCAGCAGCTTTGACAAGGAGCTCAAACCAGAGACTATTTACAGTGCTGGACATTGCATCCTGAGGAGCGCGGGAGCGGGGAGCATGGCCGTGAACTTGGACGATGATGTGCCGCTCATCCTGACTGTGGACGAAGGCAGCAGCGCCACAGCGGCTCCCCCCAACAGCCTGGGTGTGGAGGAGCTGCTGCCCAAAAGTAAGCCGGGGGCTGACTGGCGGGGGCCTGGCAGCAGACAGCAGGAGGTGGCGTGGGTTCATTCTCCTGTCACCTGGCCCAGTGGTTGGGCCCTCATGTGTCGACACAGAAACTAGTCCTGGTGGCTGTGGGCTGCTGATGCCACACACCCAGCTTTGGGAGGGCTTCGGGCTCGCGCTCCCCCCGGCCCTCACCTCCCTTGCACCTGACCGACCTTGGCTTTTTCCGTGGTGGCTTGGCAGGGACCACGGGCCAACCTGCTCCTTGGTGGCTTCCCTCCCTCATCCCTGGTTATAAAAAGCAGCCGATTTCAGCAGCAGCCTCCGTCTGTCCCCCTTGGAAGCCGTTGGCAGGAAAGCGGCGCTCTTGCTTCTCTCTGCTCCTTCGCAGCCCAGCAGCGCCAGGCAGGGGCGGAGGGGGCGAGCGATGGTTGGGATCCATTGATCGGAGGCTTTGGGGTTTTGCTTTGTCTTCCTCTGAACCAAAGCCTAGCACAAAGCGAACCCAAGAGAGGCGGTGAGCTTTACATTTTTTACGTGTTAAGTGTGTTGCTGGCACAATGCGAGGCCTTAAGAACCTTTCTGGGCTTCATCCTGAAGCCATTTGTTTGCTTGGGCCTTGGGGCTCAGGAGAGGCTTAAAATAACTCACCTTTTGTGGAGGTCCATAGCTGCCTTGGTGAACGGAGACCATCACCCTGTGGGGAGGGAATGGAGGGAGCCACTGGGGACCAGTGACACGGCAGCCTGGCTGTCCCATCTCCTTTGTCCCAAGAGGGTGCAACTGGTGGTGATTGCTGGGCAGCCTCTCTGGGAACGGATGAAAGGAGCAGTGTCCCTGGGGTGAGGTGTGGCAGGCGCCCGGCTCCCTAGACACAGGCCCCTCTCTGCCATGGTGGCTTTGCCCGCTCTGGGGCAGCAGAGCTGGGTGGTACAGAGATGAGAGCATGAGCCAGGCTGGGGGCAGTAGTGGTGACTGCGATCCCAGCAAGTCAGGGAGGACAATGTAGGAGGATCAGAGTTGGAACCGTCAGACTGTCCTGGAAGGGGAGATACCATGATCACGAAGGTGGCTTTTCCATGGCGAGACGTAGCCATTGCGCTCCAGGTGTCCTGACCCCTGGGATTTCCCCAAATGTGGGAAACTCGACTGCGTAATTTATGGTGGTAAGGGACCGCTTTCACTCACGCTTTCCCCTGGGGAAAAAAAATTGAACCCATCATAGGCAACTTAGCAATTTAGTGAGACTCTGTCTCTAAATAAAGAAAAATCAAAAAGGATGGGGTGGAGGCCATAGCTCAGTACAGAGGCCCTGCCTTCAACTTCCCCAAGTACCACTCAGGGCCAAGCAAAGAGTGTGTTCAGTTTCCAGCTCTTAGCTGTTTCCTTCGTAGAGTCCCCTTGTTAGGTAGGCAGTAGTGTTCCTCTTTTACCAACCAGGTCAGAGAGGTTAGGTGACTTTCCCAAGGCCACCCAGCCAGTGTGCAGGTAAATAAAGGTTTGAATTCAGGAATAATTCCAGAGCCTCTTCCTCTCCTTCTCCTTCCTCTTTTTCTGCTCTTCCTCCCTGTCCTTCTCTTCCTTCTCCTTTTTCCTTCACAAGTTTAAAATAAAATGTGAGCGTGAGTCCTTAGCTTAGCATTTGTTCATTTTGATTTTTTTTTTTTTAATATTTTGCAGTCTTGGGTCCGTCCCTGGGCCTTGTGTGTGGTAGGCCCTTAACATTGATCTCTCTCCTCCTTCTGCACTGTCAAGGCAGAATTGCTGTTCCTGGGCTGGGGAGGTAGCTTGGCTGTATAAGCGCCTGCCTGGCAAGTGCAAGGTCCTGAGTTTGATCCTCAGTACCACATGCTGTGCCAGCTGGGTGTGGTGGCGCATGCCTGTGATTCTGGCACTGGAGAAGCTGAGACAGGTAGATTACTACGAGTCTGAACTGTGTAGCAAAACCCTGTATCAAAAAAATTGTTGTTCCCATCTGTATTTACAGAGTAAGAGATGGCCTGGGGAACTTAGGAGGTCAAGTGGCCTGTCCAGGGTCACACAGCTCATTGGCACTGATAGCTCTCTGGTCGGTCCTCCCAGGAGACACAAGTCATGTGACACAGTTGTAGCTTCAGAGGCTCCTGCTGGTGAGGGAGGCCTTATGTCACTGGTACAAGGGACCTGAGGTAGGTAGGAGTGGTCTGCTGACAGCCAGGCTCAGGATTGTGAGTGACAACCTGCATGTCCTGTGAGCCTGCTGCTTTAAAATCCTCATGAAGCATCAGCTCAACAGTGGCTTGTCCGGCTCCCCTGCAGGATCAGAGTGGGGGCACCGATGCTGTTCTGTGTCAGGATCAGACTTTGAACTGGTGACGGTGCTTGCTGAGCAGGAAATAGGCCAGAGAGACAATAAAGCTCACCTTGGGTCGGCCCCCAGCAAGGGTCTTCTTGTCTTACCAAAGCTGAAGTCAGTGGCCTATTTTCGTTTGTTTCTTAAGACCAAAATAATATGGCCCCAACCAGCAGCGACATTGTGTTTTCTCCACAGTGGATTAGTGCCTCAGATTCCTCTCTTGTGTGTGATCTATTTTCTTTGTTTTTAGAGGCAGGGTCTTGCTGTGGAACCCAGGCTGGGCTTGAATTTATATCCTCCTGCCTCGGCCTCCAGAGTGCTGGGGCCGTAGGTGTGTGCCACCACACCCAGTTTGTTCCCTGCATTCTCAAGGATTATTTGTTAAGACCTCTAGGAATATGTGGGTGAATCTTTGGAGTCTGGCTGGAGAGAGAGGTGGGGCCTCTCTCAGGGGAAGGAGAGGTTTCAAGGCATCCACTTGGCCTAGCACAGGCCTTAGCTCATGCTTGGATTTTGTCACTGGCCTTCCCTGTCCCTGTTGCTGGAGGAGTAGTCCCTCTCACACAGATGCAGCCTGGCTATGTTTTCCCTGGGCCTTCCCCTCCCAACAGGCTGCAACCAGCCTCTTTCGCCTGGATGCATGCCGATGTGTGTCCTGGCGTCGTCTTGTCCAGCCCGTCCTATTTCCTGCCTCGGCCCACAGTGTCATATGGCTTGGAGGGTTGCAAGACTCCATGCATTCCCGATGCTCTGCACCTCACTGTGCTGCTGCCCTGCTCTGAAGAGGGTCTGGCATCCCCCCCACCCCGCCCCCGACTTCGTGAACTCCAGCCCTGTCCTGGGAAGGCTGCTGCCTTCCTGCACTTCCCCTTCCTGCATTCCCTCCGATTATGCTCCAGTTCCTTGAGAGAGGCTTCCACAGGCTTCCAGGGGTGGCATTTGCTGCCTGTGGTGATTACAGTTCCAACCCTCTGATCCATTGTCGCCTGAGCCCTGAGTGCTGTTGAGCTTTGTATGTCGTAGCTCAGTGCCTGCCAGCTGCACATACAACTCCGATGAGGTTTCAGTCACCAAGTTGACCCTGGGGCCTTGCAGCCCTGGGAATCGCCTTGGAAGGTCCTCGCCAGAGATGGGCAAGCATCCTCTCTGGCTCTTCTCTACAACCAGTGGTTTGAATCCCCTTTGTCTCAGTGAGGCTCATTGTCGTAGAGACCGTGTCCCTCAAGTAAACTCTTGAGGGGCTGGCAGAACAGACAAGGCGGCTGGCAGAGTTGCAGTGACAGGGCCAGCAGCACCCAGAGCCTTCCCTGGGACCTGTGGGCTCCCAGGGCCTTCCCTGGCTCCATGTGCTCCTTGTCATGGCAGTGATGACAAAGTGCCAGGGCTAGGCGGCTTCAGCCACAGATGTGCTTTTTCCCAGTGTGGTGGCACGGGGTTGCCGTCCTCTGAGGCCTCTCCGCTGGGCCTGCAGAGCGCCACCTTGCTGTATCCTCACCAGTCCTGTTGAATTAGGGCCCATCCATGTGACCACGTTTGACCTTAATTTAAGAGACTCAGACTCCAAACATGGTCACGTTGTCCCCAGGAATCAGCTGTGCCACCTCTGACTATTAACTCCCTGCCAGGGCTCTGGCCTCTTTGGGTCCTGGAAGGTTTGGCTTTGAGAGTGAGGCGTAACTTTGAAAGCCCACGTTCAGCAGCTGGCCCGAGACACCAGTTCCTGGTGTGAACCAGGAAGTGGTGGAGAGCAGCTGTGACTTCTGTGGGCGGGGCAGAGGACTTTCTACTTCTGGCCATGCTCAGGTTTTACCTTCTGGTCACTTGACACTTCTGGAGGACCAAAGCACAGGGACAAGGGTGGTGGCTGAGGGGGGGGGCGAGGCACCACGTCTGGTTGTCTGCTTTGCTGCTGGTTGTCTGTGGTTTCCTGGTGCTGTGCAGTGAAGGGGTAAGGCCTGAGTGACAGAGCAGAGCTCCTGCCCTCCTCCACCTGGATGCTGGGGCTTTACTAGGACGCTGGGCAGCGCAGAGAAAGGTCACTGTCCTGTGTGGGCCTGCATCTGATGCCTGGTCCCCTTTACCAAAGCTTGTACATGGGCAGAGCAGTTGGCACCAGGCTCCATCCAGTGGGCACCTGCGCCAGGAGGAGCTGGTTGGTAGGGGCAGGGCCAGAAGCGCAGCGTGGTCAGCCTGAGGGGACATGCTATCGCAGGACTCTGGTCCCGTGACTCTTTCCTAACCAGGATTCCCCAGCATATTGGCAGAGTGAAGGCTGCCCTTGGGACTTGCTTGACTTCACTCACTTGTGGTCCCCAGGTGGTAGCATGGCAGGGTGGGTGGGCACTGAGGACAAACCCCAGACTGCCATCCCAGACAAGTGCAGAGCTGGGCTGTCCAAGCCTCAGCCCTCATCTGTAGAATAGGGTCAGGATTGCACCTGTAAGTCAGGGGGTTCAGGTGTGATCCCACAATCTGTACTCCACTAATTGCAGATGTCCTTGTCCCCGTCCAGAGACTGGGTTGCAACCTTGCAGTGTCCACCAGGACCTGGGTCCTGAGCTCCGGCCAAGGGGCGAATCCCCTCTGCCTCACTCCTGACCCAGCAGGTGGCGGCCGACCTGCAGGGAAGCCAGGGCAGCTTGGCAGCTGGAACCAGGCAGCAGTTAGACTTCCAGAGCCTCCCATGGAGCCTGGGCATTGGGCACCACTGGAGTCCTTCCCCTGGCTGTTTTAGGGTCTTATCAAGGCACAGTGCCAGATGTCACCAGGCCGTTGGTGGCCCTAATTACAGTAAGCGAGCACCCAGCATGCTGGGTTGGAGCCTCGTAACAGAGACACAAAGCCTCTTCTTTTCCCCACCCTCCACGTCTTCGTGGGGGGGTCCTGTCTGTTGCCTCCGACCCCCTGCCACGAAATGCCATCTCTGCCTCTGCATGCAGAAAGCTGCCACATCTCAATGGCAGCCCTGCCTCCCCCAGAACCTGGGGGAGGGCTGAGCTCACATGGCTCTGAACGAGCTTAGCTTCAGGAGCCAGAACCATCAACTTCCAGGTCAGGGAGGGGACACGGGCAGGCCTGGCTGGCTCCCAGCAGTCTCTGGTGGCTTCTGATTACAGTGGCCTCCTTGGGGTGCCCCAGATTGCAGTAGTGTCCCAGAGAGGAAGCAGCAGGGACTAAGCCCTGGAGGAACAGGTGTCCCGCAATGGCCCCATCCTAGCTTCATGCTCCACGTGCTGCCCTGCAACTTTGCTGGGAGAAACCCAGAATGGAGCTTTCCTCTCCCCGCTCAGGCCAGTTGGGTAAGAAGGTACACACAGTCACAGGAACCTGCACCCTCGGGCAGCTGCTGGGTGCCAGGCAGTGTGCACAGTGCCTGCTGGTGGTGTCTGTGTGTCACCTGTCCCCCAGACAGGGCCTTGTTGTGTGCCAGGCAGGTGCATCTGCCACTACCTACAGCCCCAGCCCTGCAGCTTTTTTACCATTTAACTTTTCTCTCTACCTAATATTATTCCAAATTGGGGTGCCAGGGTTCAGCCTCCTTCCTGTGTTGTAAAAAGAGCAGAGCTGTTGGCTCTGGGATTGCAGCAGAGAAGCTAGAACAAGTGAAAGGAGCCACAGAGAAAGCCTTGATTTCCCCGCGCACGGACCACAGTCCCTTCCAGTGCATGTTCTCTGGGGTTAGGCCGCAGGCAACTGTTTCCATCTCAGTACTTGGAACAGGAAATTTTCGGCTCCACATGGAGCCTGGAAAGAGCCAAGATTTGGTCAATGTGGCACAAAGGCGGCCAAGCGAGGCGCAGCCTTGGGCTGACTTGGAAGGTCAGTGGGCTCTAGCAGCCACCCCTAGAAGTTGTTGATTCCCAG